TATATATATAAACAAAAGTGTTGCGTTATATTTTTGTTCAGTGTATATACCGGGTACATATACACAAACGGACAGATAGATATATAGGTAGATGGATCAAAACAATTGTGAACAACTTGTGATTTTCTGTGTTTAGTTTATTAGCTTAGGACTTAATGTGAATGTTAGAAGGCTAAAACTGAGAGATGCTCCACACAAACCTCTGCCGCCCGTCCTCTGTCGGTGGGTGGGGTGGCACCAGACTACTGTCACACGTGTGCACACTCATGATTAATGTGTAGTTGAGTGCTAAGTGTTGTTGTGTATGTGGTCCGGGTTCAGCAAAGCTTCATTGTACATCAGTTTCAGCACACACCATTTGTGACGTTTACATGAACGAGGACCAAATTTGGCACAGTTTATTCACAAAGTGCCTCAACTTGATCACAATTTATTCTCTTTTGTGTCTCCAATAAGTCACAATTTGATTTTGTGGGTCACCAAAATCTACTGATACAGTTTTAAATACTTTTAGTAAGATTATCAACATGACAAGCAGCCTAAACTGTAAATCAAAAAACTAATATAGAAGTTAATTGTGTTCAAAAAGACGCAGTCCTTAAATATTATAAACTTTTCCTTGTTTTATGTCTTACCCAGTTCTGATGCGATTGCTTCAGGAACGGGAACTTTCAGATTCTGGACAAAGAAAAACAGACGGAGGGAAATAATTACATCAATAAGTAAAGAAATACTGTAAATCATAAAAGGTAAAAGAGAACTGACTTGTTTTGAAGAAAAAGAAACGAGAAAGGAGGACATCCTACTTACCGCTGCTCGATCTAAAAACAGTGAGTGGAACTCGATAAAGAAGCGTCGACTTTCCTTGGAGCTGGTTTGTTTGTGCATGTCGGCGAAGAGAAAACAAAGCTGAGGACAGAAAAGTTTTATTTAAACGAAGCTTCTTTTTGAAGGAAATCGTTTCAGTATCTTATATTTATACAAACTTCAGAAAACTCTATGACTTTATGGCAAAAAGTCTTCCTGGGGAGAAAAATCATGCACATTACGTAACCGCCAGCCTTCAGTCTGGGGTTTTTAAACGACTCTTCCCAGTCCCCACCCCACAGACTGAGGCCTTGTCGACTGGGAGCTGTCGACCCCAGAGCAGCTGATTTCAGTCAGACGTGGATGGTTCTTCAGCCAGGATGCATCTGGAGCTACTGTTTTGCACCAAATGTTTACTCGTGCGCAACGCAAGAGAGTTTTTGCTCTTTCCATCTGAACTAAAACATTTATGTTGGATGACATGAGAGTGGACCTGAGAGGAACCGACAGCCGCGATCCTGCGATGCTACAGCCTTACTCAAACGTAAGAAGAGCATCACCGAGTGTGCAAATACAAAAATCAAAAGGGGATGAATAAAAGTTTTTAAAAAGTAGCTTCAGTAACTGAAAGGAATTATTTCACATGATATGATAATTATGGGATTAAAAAAAACAACATTTATAACTGTTTTCAATGATGTTTCCCTAAAGGAACACTAGAGGGGAGAAAAGTGAGCGTTTACGGGAGCGTTGCCATCTTTAGAGGATTCAGATGAAATTTGGTGGAGTGGTAGCTGAGAACGATCCCCATCACATACTGAATCCAAATTAAAAATCCAAGATGGCCACCTTAGCTAAAAAGGAAAAAAATAACATAACTCAGCCATTCTTAGAGCTATTCAGCTGAAATTTGTATACCGGTAGCTGAGTGAACCCCAACACATAGTACTGTCAAATCAACAATTTAAATCAGCAGCAGCCTGGCAGTCCGTCAAAGTTTCTCCAAGAACGTTCTAGTTATGATTTATTATTTATGTGCAATTGTCATCAAAGTAGCACTGATTAAAGCCTCCATATAGAAAGAGGAGCACTTTTGCTTCTTTAAGCTCTGCTGATTATAAGAACATGTGGAAACGTCACCAGTTCAGAACGACTTCATGACACATTTGTGAAACTGACACCATTAAATAGATTTTCTGCTGCTAATGACTGCACGACTGATAAGTGTTACTTTGTTTTTAACTGCATCTGGCTCAATATTATCATCATTACTGTGTGTTTTTCGACGTACCAGAGGAGCCGGGTCAAACTGCGAGACCACATGATGGAGGAAGACCGCGAGGTGAGCGGGTCTGGACTTCAGCACGTCGATGCTCTGAAAAGAGCTGCACTCGTTGTTGATCTGAGGACAGAAACCAGTTCAATAGACAAAAATAAAGTGGAAACTTTTCCTCCAAGAAGCTGATCTGTGAGACTAAAACGTACCTGTTCCTGCTGGGAGTCAAAGTAATCGTCCTCTGCTCCAATAATCTGGAGGTTAAGGGTGTAAGGAGGACTACCCACAATGCACTGGGCACTGGAGTCCTAAGGAATACATTTAGGGTGAAATCCAGAGTTATTTAAGAGTTTTTCTTTATTTTTATTATGAGATAATGGTCTCATCAGTACAACAGACCTCAGACAATTAGACTTTACTTTCTACAATTAATCCTGATTTTCTTCATTTTATAACAACAACAAAAAAAAGATTAATTCTATTTTCAGTAAAAGTACAGTTTGAACGCTAAGCGCTGAATACTGAAATTTACTGAAGAAGCTGAAGCTGGGTTTGTTAAGGTTAAAGGAAGCAGAACGTTAGCTAAAAGATAAAAGAAGCAAAACACTAGAAAAAAGATAAATGTAGAACAAGGCGAGCTAAATGTTACTGTTAGCAAAACGGTGGCAATAAGCTAAAAGTAACAGTGGTAAAAGAACAAGTTAAACATACCAAAAAGCAGCTAAATGCAGCTAAATGCTGCAGAACGGAAACTACTAGAATTCCAAAGCAGCAAAAGGCTAATCAAAAGCTAAAACTAGCAAAAGGTTAGTTAAATTAGCAAAAATCTAGCTGAAAGGTAACGTAGCAGAGGGGTAGATAAAAGCTTAAACATCAAAAGAACAGCTACAGCTAAATGATGGAAGCTGCAAAATCGTAGCTAAAAGCTAATCAAGTTAATGATATTAAGCAATTCTGGTAGGCAGTGCGCTCGGTTCTGTTGACAGGTTGACTGGCTCCATCTTTGGATAAAGGAAGGAGAAACCACTGATGGTAGCTAGAATCTCCAAGTAAGCTAAGTAAAATGTAAAACTAGCAAAATGCTAAAAGCAGCAAAACCTTAGCTAAAAGCTAAAGGTAGCAAAAGCATTGCTAAAAGCAGCAATGTCGTAGCTAAAATTAGCACAAGGCCAGCAAAATAAAAATAAAAATAAAAAAGCATTTTGAATGGCTAAAATAGAAAAGTATGGCAAAACTGTTGGATTGCAAGAAATGTTGTGAAAATAAACAACAGGAAATGTCAGCGCAATATTTTATCATAAAAATATGCAACTTGGACTAATTTGTGTCGTGTTGCGTTGTTGCATTCTTCCTGAGTGTGATCATTGAACCAGTTTGGTGACGTTCTTCATGAGACAGACGGACTCCGGTGCTTTGGGCCTCTATGGGTTGTCAGGGTAAACTCTGTAAAGTGACTTAGCGTGGATTTATGCTGCTCCTATCACTCTGATCTCTGCTCTGAGTGTTGCTGGTGGCGTTTTTAGTTGCATCCATGAGGGCTTAATGACCAAACAGCCCGTTCCTTGTTGGTAGACGTTTGATCACTTCAGTGGAGTGGACTAATTAAAGTAGACGGCGGGTTTTTGGAAGGGGAGTTGCCTCCTTCGGTCCTGCTTTTACAGGAAACGTGGAAATGCGTAAAGCAAACAGCATTTCCCTGGACACTTTACGAGAACGTTGTTGATCTTTGATCTACAGTCTCTCCTGAGGTCTGTCCACTTGTCTAATGCCACTACGCTCTTCCCTGGACGCAGAGGTACTCGATGAGATATGAACTGCTGTCTTTAGTAGCGTCCTCCTGGGTTAAACATGGACAAATAAATCTTCCACAGCTTGTTTTCAAGTTAATCATATATAAAAAATAAAACCTTTTTAACTTGAATAAAAAGAGGTTATTTGTTAAGTCTGTACATCGTCAGTTTGCAACTGTTGGCAACTGGTTGGAGTCAAAATTACAACAAAAAGTGCAAAATTTCACCTGGAATCACAGAATTGGTACCTATATCAAAGTTCATGCTCAGTAATCCAGGTATAAAATCCAACAATGTTCAGTCAGGTCATCTGGATGGTTTCTTCTTTTTTTTTTTTTTTTGCTGAGACGTTTCGTCCTTCATCCAAAGGACTTATTCAGTCCAAGGAGCCACAAACAAACTGGAGTCCCACAAGCACCACACTCCCATAGTGGAAAAAGAATGGAAAAGGTGTGGTGCTTGTGGGTTGCGCCTCGGACTGAAGAAGTCATTTGAATGAAGGACGAAATGTCTCAGCAACAACCAAAAAAAAAAAAGAAGAAAGAAACCATCCAGATGACCTGACTGAACATTGTTGGATTTGTACCTGGATTATTGAACATGAACTGTTGGCGTTTTGCACCATTTTGACAAGACTGCCTCAGAGGAGTTGACGGGGGAGAGGGCGGGTGCCAGAAAACATCTTATCACCAGCAAAGAGTGTGGTGCTTGTGGTACCTATACGTTTGCTCAGGTACATAACTGCTGAAAGTTTGTCTCGAAGCTTCTTAAGAAAGTCTCAATTTGATTTCAGTTTATTCACATTTTTGTCTCTGCTCGGTCAGAATTTTGATTATTGGTAGCAGAACCTGCAGAGGTTCTCAACACAGGATCGCAGCTCGGCCTTGGGTTTTTTTGGGTAGAGTTTACGTTCTCCAGAAAGGAGAAATGAATGAATGAATGAATGAATGAATGAATGAATGAATGAATGAATGAATGAATCGGCAGATGGATGAAAGGATAGATGATGACCAAACCGTCTCAAAGTTGTCTCACATTTCTGAAACTGTGGGTTTGCGTCTCTTACAGTGTCAGGAGTGTCTTCGGAGTCGGGTGAGGAGCAGAAACTGAGGGTCCCCGGACTCTGACGGGGTGTCCCTTTTATTCCTGAACTTTCTGGAGAGTGGCTGCTGTTCGTCTAGCGCACACACACAAGACACACACGTAGATAAACATTACCACACATGAAAAATAACGCACAACAGTCGAAGCAAATTGGTTGTTTAGTCTGGTGGTGCATGCTGGGAAATCCCCCAGAGATTTCCGAGTAGGTCCTTTCAGCCCTATTTATAGACGCTGATAAAATCATTTGTTTTAACAAAGGAGCTTCCAGAGAAACTGAGTTGCCTTTAAAATTAAGACGACAATATTTAATGATAAACTAATAGTCTGAATGTTGCTAAATCATTCTCACTGCTGAGACCATTTGTCTTCTGTACATTTTTTATTTTTTTGGTTTGCAACTCGTTCCACAATTTTCATGCCATTTCAACAATTCATATATGAAAAGTCTCAGCTCATTCTGGACATTCCTGCTATGACTTTTGGTGTTTGTGCAGAAGAAGCGCCATTGTACAGGAGGTACAAAGAAACTTAGTTTGGCAGCAATCTCTATAATATCAATAGTGCAATTTTCATTAGCAAAAAAATAAATTTAAAACAAAATACACTCAGTCTCTTTTAGCAGAAACAGTTGTGCAAAATGTTCATACAGGCATATGTATGCGTAACAAAAAATAGACTTATATTTAAATATATTTATATGTTGATTGGCCAGCGGAGCTACGTGACCGGATGACCCGCCCACCACAAACATGTTGAGTCTTTTCCTCATCGTTCACGACTACGGACGCACAAAGAAAGTCTCAGGGATTTTTCAAAAACTTAGCTGCAAATTTATTTTACGTCTCAGAGTCGGTTTGTAAGGAAATGCTAGGTCGCCATCCCCCCAAGGTGTCTCCTCTGCGGCTGTTCTCCCCTATATGTGGAGAACAACAACATTCCACCACAGCATTTCCTCAAGAAAATGCACCTGTTTTTCATCTGCTTGTAGTTTGTCTCACAAGTTTCTTTGTCTGGTCCGTCTTTGGTGTCACAAGGTCTGTACTACTGCATGTATTATCAGTGTGCACACTTCTAAAGTTTTGGCACGCATGCACAGAACCCTAGTTCACCCATAAAGACAAACCCAGGACCACACAGGCCTCGTGGTCAAACAGACGATGGGTTTGGGCGCAGTGAACAGTGCTGCCAGCCTCTTACCTGAAAGGGGTCTCAGCCGGACGCTTACAGTAACTTAACCTTTGCCAAATACGAATCCTAGCTCACAAACAGACTAAACTTAGAAAGTTTTTTGACAAGTGTCATCATAAGTACGTGTGTTGCCACAAAGATACAGCTTGAAGAGTTGATCGGTGTGGAAAGAACTACCGAGCTGAAAACTGAAAGCAACTTGAAACTGATCATTAGGAAGATTAATAATTTTGCTAAACAATAGTGCTGATTTGGATGAAATGCTCTGGTATTTGTTAAATGCTGGTCACACTGAACAATCTGAAGTTTCCAACACCATCAGTTCTCTTAACATACAAACCTCTGACATTGTCATAGTTGATTTTACGGCAGACACATGCCAAATAACTTCAAAACCAAGACGAGAACATCTGATCTTAACGCCATTGTTTTACTTTACTGTTTCAAAAGACACTGGGAGCCCGTCTGGAGAACAAACCCACGACGGTGGCACCAGAGTGTCCAGGATCCACGACAAACAGAAAGCTAAGATGGCTGCGTTGGCTCACCGTGCAGAGAAACTACAGGGCTGCACAAGAAGCCAGAAATGAAGCTGTTCTGGAAAGAGTGAAACACTCCAGCACTTTTACCATAAATCCACGTGAGCCATCAGTTTCAGCAGGAAGAAGAAGAAGAAGAAGAAGAAGTGAAGAAGGAAGAAGTCTGCCTGCGAGGATGGAAAGTCAGCCCCGTCATTAATGAACCACATTTGGATGCAGAGGTCAACAGACACCGGAGACCTGAAAGCTGGGATGAGGGAGAAGATTCTTTCTGGAAGAAGGTGTATGAAGGTAGTCACGTGGATTCACGTGCATGTCATCCCAAAAGCCGCATGGAAATAAGAGTCTAACCGCATCCATCAAACCAGTCAACACCGTCAGCTCTGAAGATACTGATGCACCTGAGCCGAGGGACAAATCACAGGATGAGAACCTTGTTGAAGACGCACTTGTCGCACCGTTTTATGAAGACACCCCTGTGACGACACCTCCTCGAGACACTGGAGACACGTCCCCCCCAGTGGACACTTAAATACCTTATCCTGAGAACATACTAGTGATACAGTACTACAACATGACGATCCATCACGGCCGTCTAGTAAGGAGACAACTCAATCCTCTCCACAGAAGCAACTCTTTGCACCAACTGTTGAGGAAGAAGCAGCCACAGCACCTCCTCTGGTTCCAGACCCAAAACCTGAGAGAAAACATTTTCTGATAAAATCACTGGAGCAGGTAAGTTCATCAGAATACTATCTGAATGTTTTCTTAATTGTTCAAGTCAGTTGTACAGACAACTACACTTTACTGAAAAACAACTGAATAGTTTTTTCCGCCCACAGAAAAGAAGCTGGTTTAAGGGACATGGCTCCTGTCGGCAAGAAACAAGGTCCAGGCTGTTGCAACTTTGGTTTGCATCAATCCGTTTGCCCAGACCTCCTAATGCTGCAAACAGGACCTCTGTGGTGACGCCTTTGGGTGAAACTCGTCCTCAAACCAAGGCTCCTCAAACTGAGAAAAAAGGACCTGGAATAAGAGAAATTCCAGTTTCTTCAATGCCTGTCTGAAAAGAGAGCAAGTTAGGTAAGTAAACTAGTAATTTAATGCAGCTCCTAAGGATTTGTGAGCTCTAAAATACTCGTTACATAGGCTAAAGCATTTATAAAGGGTTCTAAAGACTGAAGCATCCCTGTTACCAATTGACCGCAAGGCTTTTGTTGCCATCATGAATTTTTCTTTTGTAAAACTTTGTAATCAATCAAATTATGGGTTCGATTGGGAAGTGACTTGATATTTCCCAAAGTGAAAAATTCCCACAGACAATAGGAAAAATGAGCAAGAAAGTCCAGCCTTATTTAGAGCTCTATAGCTCCGGCGTACCTCACAGTAGAAAGATCATTTAATGTTTAAAGAAGTGATGGAAAGTTGGACTCTAGTTGGATGAACTGGAATATTGATTCCTAATGATTTATACGATCATAATTTAGGGTTGTTTTTTGAAAATGTTACTAAGGAATGTTCGACTTACAGAAAGATGATCTCTAACTTTTAAACTGTTGGAATTTTCCAAATGATTTTTGCAAACAAACCTGTCTTAGTCCAAGAAACTTTATACATTAACTATTCATATATTAAAATGTAGTCATTTTTATTTATTTATTTTAATATATCCAGTAAAGCACATGCCCAATTACTTTTAAACCTGTGTCTAGTAAATACTGGTTACAACAAATATAACCAGATATCAGTTTTTGTTGCTCATGAGAAAACTTAAGAGTCACATTTCCAGAAGGTCGTGTCCAGTTATCTTTGGCATGTTGAGCTAAAAGACACGTTTGTGACTGATGTTTTTTTTAATTAAGCAGGCAAGAAGAAAAGCAGTGACAGCAGCCTGAAGACTGCAAAACAAAACAAAAATAACCTGAAGCCACCGGACAAACCTCTGCAAAGCCCGTCTCATGTCTGGGAGCTGCTGTCCTCAGATGACTGGTAAGATCAATTTTCCTAAGCAGCATTTTTAAAAGTTGTTCAAACAGTGTCTAGAGAACTGTGTCGTATCCGAGCATAGGCGTCACATCAATTGTATGTGATGGGGCCGTGCCCCCCTCACATTTAAAAAAAATATTTGTTTGGACAACCCCCCCAATTTATTATGAAATATTAGTTCACCCAGCACCGTTTCAGCTGCTAGCAGTACCATGCTAACAGTAACAGTGTTTTTATAAGAATGTTTTTTTTTTTTTTTTATTGTTTTTTATTGTTGCATGTTGCATGTTGTCTGTACTTTATATGTTGTCTGTAGTTTATATGATGTCTGTCTACCTAAAACTGGTCTCTCTTGAAAATGTGTCCTCATGACTCAGTGAGACTAAGGTGTATAAATAAAGGTTAAATAAAAATATTTTTCTTTGTGAACTAATCCATTCCACTTGATCAATATGAGAATACTCAAACCACTAAAAGCCCACTCCAGGCTTTCCTGGTTACCTACAACAACTCACCACACCGCAGTGTTTCCCAGAGGTCACTTGGCCTGGCAGGGCACTCATCCCTTTGGGGTTTTTGTGGACTGTGTTGTGTGCTAGCTTGGCGCTACAGGGGAGTAGGATGCATGAGAGAAGCAAAGCATGCTCTATTTACACAAGGTGAGCTGTTGGTCAGGCTACTTCTTGTTGCTCTCTACAATAATTGAATCAAGTGTTACTTATGTAGGTAAACGTAGATGTTTAGCAACCGGTTAAAATAAACCAGAATGCAGGAAATGGTGCCTACTTTATTCAAAATTTTCAGGGGGAGGACCCCCAGACCCCCCCACCAATGTGGTTGTACTTCCTGAAAGCTTCATTAAAACCTCTTCATGGGTTATTTTGCTAATAGTCACAAGAAAAAAACAAAAATCACAAAATATGTTAGCGGTCTTGCTGCGTGGTCACACTCACAGAATTGTTGTTGGCCGAGGGCCCACCTCCAGAACCAAAAGGGGAGTTCTGTTCTTTCAGGGACGACCTACCATCGCCCTCCTCTTCCTCGCCGTTCCTCAACCCTGACGCTGCATCCTGAAACAAGCAGCACCTTTACTGAAGACGAACCGAACCAGCAGATGTTGGACACACAGGCAGTTCCATGAAATATTAGAAACAAGTTTATTGTGTAATAAGCAGCTTCAGTACAAAATTAGCTGTTAAATGTTGTAGAGTGAAATACTTCATGTAAATACTCCCGACAAGTACTTCCTTGTACTTCTGTCTCACCCCGTCAGTAGAAGAGCAGATCAAGTGGTTCTGAGGGCTGCTGCTGCTCAGGAAGCTGGACCGCTCTTCACCTGAGAGTGCAGGTGAGTTTGGAGCTGAAAAAAAAGGCGGCGTGTCGACCTCCTCTTCCTCCTCCTCCTCCGGCTGCTGCTGCTCCTTCTCCTCATCCAGGGGGATCTGAGGGAGTCCTGGAGGTCTCCCCAAAACCGTCAGGGCTACATAGGAACCCGCTACCAGAACATTTTTTTTTTTAAAGAGAGAGCAAGAAAGAAAGAATGAAAACAAATAAAGATCTCATTAAACAATTAGTTTTAATTAGTTTTAATTAGCTAGAAAATCTTCATTTTTGTAAAAATGCAATTTAAACGGTGAGAGGTGAAAGACTTGCTAAAATTTGCTTAAAAACCCAAAACTATTTAGGTATGTCTTACTACTCAAGTGATATCGTACTTGTTCCTCAGCTGACTTTGTCTTGTCAATTAATAATTGTAATATTGTTATTGAAAAATCCAAAATAAAATATTCTAAAAAAAAAAAAAAAAAACTTAATTAAGCTAAAAAAATCAGAACATTAGCTAAGAAGAAGCAAACAACTAGATTAGCTTGAAGCTAAAAAAAAGGCAAATGCTAGTTAAAAACAAAAAGTTGCAAAATACCTGCAAAAAGTAGCAAAATGCTAGCTAAATGTGGCAAAAGACAAGCTAAAAGAAGCAAAAGGCTGTGTCAAAACACTAGGAAAAACTAAAACAAGCGAAGGGCGAGCTAAATTTATCAAAAGACTAACTAAAATAAGCTGAATAGTAGTTCAAAGTAGAAAAAAGATATTTCAAGATTAAACATAGCAAAACCGTAGCTAAAACACAAAAATATAACTATAGTAACTAAAAGCTAAAAGTAGCAAAATGTAGTTAAAAGATAAAAGTAGCTAACAGTCATCAAACAAGTTGCTTAATCTATCAAAAAGCTGATTAAAAGGTAAGAGTAGCAAAAACTTTGCTAAATTTATCCAAAGGCTAGTTAAATTCTAAAGGTAGCAAAACGGAAGCTAAAAGCTAAACGTAGCATAAGACAGAGGCAGTATGCTTCTTTTTTTTTTTTTACACGTTTTGAAGGAATTAAAGAGATCTCAATGCATTTCTATGTAAAATAAATCTGTAAACAAAGTTAATTATTTTGAAAAGTATAAAAGTTTTAAAATTCAAAAGGCATACCATCTCCTGAATGAGCTGAATGTTTTGATATGTAAATGGCTAACAAAGCACAAAATATTTCAGAAGTAGTTAAACTGCAATACATTTTGAACATAGATAATTCCATAAATATGTAAGTGACGTCAAAGTCTTTGGTGTAAAACAACAAGTAAAATATCTGTACCTTTTTTTTTTATCATGTTCTGTATATACTGTACTGTATATTTAATGAAATGTCTACGACGATGCTACTGGTTTGACTTTTTACTCTGTAAAGTTTATTTTAATGTAGTCCTGTGTTTGTGTCCAACTAGTCAAACAGGAATCCAAAAGAAAAGGATCAGTGTTCGTGTGTAGTTCTGAGTATGGTAGACTAAAAAAACAGCAGCAAAATAAAAAGTCCTGGATTGAAACTCAACTCCAATACCATTAAAAGTGATTTTAATAGGTCATTTTGCAACACTGTAGTGCTTCAGCCACGTTTCTATCAAAGTAAAGATGGTTCATGGCGTAAAACCTCTGAAATCAGCTAATTAAGAGATGCATACTTACACTTGATCAGTTCCACAACCTCCTTGTGGTTTGAATGTGTAACTAATCTCCCGTTAACCTGCACCAAGAGTAAAAACATCATTAAATAACTTTTACGTGACATGCTGTTTAAAAAAACAAAAAAAAGTCTGAGATAGTCACCAGCAGACCTCACGATCCAATATGGCTGCCTCATGCATGAAAAGTATAAACAGCTGAAGTAATAAATTATATATTTTACTTTTGTGCGTTTGTAACTTGTTAAATCAATCACACACATATAATGCTGTGCAACCTCTAGCATAAAACACGTTGCTACAAGATTTGAGTGCATCAGTCCGAACACATGCATGTTGTTAGCCTCTAGTGCTAGCAGTAGTTAGCCTAGCAACTAGCAAGTCCTGCGTTCACATGAGGCAACACTTGTGTTGGTTTTCCATTAAAAAGGATTTAATAAGCAATCAGGCTAACGCTCAGCATCAACAGATAAAGAGCTCATGTCGGGGGGTTTCTGATTTCAAAAGCATAAAAATGGTGCAAATGCTAAGCTAATGTTATTGCTAATCCAACAGTAACTTGTTTTCAGGACTTGTTTGTTGTTTTCAGGGCAGGAAAGAAGCAGGAAATTAAAAAATTTATGAAAAAAAGTTGTGAAAGATGCCCAAGCAGCTACTGCCTAAAAGTCCAGGGTAATTTTCAAACTGTAAGATGAAAAATGTAAATTTTATGATGTGTGAACTGTAGAAGAAGAAGCCAGGTGGTCATTAGTATCACCATGGTAACCACACACTTCTGTCTATCACTCCCTAACAGCCAAGCTGATGAGAGACGGACAGAAACAGACTGAAAAGTAAGCCTCAAACAAACTGCTGCACTGTGAAAATTTGAAGTCTGATTTTAACATTTCTTGATCAGTGGGCGGTAGAAACAAGACGAGCTGAAAAAGATCCTTCACTGCCAGTTTTAAAATATATAAGCTAAAATTTAATTGGTTTACTGAAGCTTGAGCGTGCACATTCTCCACTCACTTACTACGTTGTAAAGCAGGTTGATACGCACTGGATCGGAGAAGGCAAAAACCTCCACGCGTCCATGTATAACTTGTGAATGTACCAAAAACAGTTGTGGGAATAAGAAGAGTTGAGTTAAGATAAGACAGAACTTTATTGACCCCGCAGGAAATTGTTGTGCCAGAGTTAGATTACTAAATTAGACAATTCTAAAGTGAACCGTCAGATGAACCTTTTATAGAGAAATCTGTAAAAATAAATCACAAAATTTAAATTGTGGTTGTATAAAAAAATACATCAAGATATCAGTTTAGACCTGTAAAGTCATTCACCTGTTTAACCCTCCTGCTGCCCTTGGGTCAAAATGACCCACAAGAGCTCTCAGTTAACTGAGAGCTCTTGTGGGTCATTGAGACCCGATGGCAGCAGGAGGGTCAAAGTTTGAATGACGTTTCTACCGTTAACTACGTCTGAGCTGTAGAGCTCCAAAGAGGGTTGGGATTCCTCGTGTGTTTAGCCAAATCCCCCACTGATGTCCACTTTTTTACTAGCATATTTTTTGCCAATTATGCCTACACTGTACAACAAAATCAAGTCATAGCACGTTATTCGTGATCGAGGTGCGCTTTTTTGTGCACAGTTTGCCTTTTCCCCCCCCCAAAGCTGTGAGATGAGACACAGGACAAACACTTTGACCAGGATAAAATGAAGGCATCACGCACCGTTACCAATAATTACGAAAAGCAAACCTTTATGATCCTGTCTCCTGTCTGGACTCCAGCTCGCATTGCAGCGCCATCTGTAATAGGAAAGGAAAGAGAGTTACAGATGCTGTTTTTGGAAAACGCGCTGCGATAATGTGTGCGCTTCAGTGCCTTACCTTCTTTGACCAGCTGCACAAACACCGGGTTGTCTCCACTTACTGTCAGACCAAAGCCATTCTCATCCCTTTGGATTATCACGCAGCGCTGGACCAGACCTGCCGTTGAACGTTTTATTAGAATAAATAACCTCAAAGGCAAGCTCAAACATAAAAGTCAAGACCAACTTTGGTACATGCTCCTGTATGTCTAACCTTGCAAGAGAAAATAAGAAAAGAGAGCAACAAAATGTGTTGTTAAGCTTCGTTCCTTTGCTTGCAGCCTGGTGTTCACTTTGTGGGAAAACGTCTCCATGCAGGAAATGACAAACGAAAAGACTGAAATGGAAACGGCTTCAGAAACAACAGCTTGTTCTCAAACTGCTTGAAAAACAACGAGGTGTTCAGTTTGTTTTACGGACATTTAGGATTCTTTGAGCTCCAGAAGCCAGCAACTGTGAAGAGAAAAGGCAGCGTTGTAGCTGTTTTGGTCAAACGTTGTAAATAAGGTTGGACAAGATTTTCTGAGAGTTTTATTAAAATGAGTCAAACGGTTCTGGAACAGCAGAATTTGAAGCAGCTAGGATGAGGATCAGCACCTCCAAATCTGAGGCCATGGTCCTCAGTCAGAAAAGAGTGAGCCGTCTTCTCCGTGTTAGGAGTGAGGTTCTGCCTCAAGTGGAGGAGTTCAAGTATCTCAGGGTTTTACTCGTGATGGAGGGAAGAATGGAGTGAGCGATCAAGAGATGGACTTGTGCAGCTTCTGCAGTATTGTGTACTCTGTGCCGGTCCGTTGAGGTGAGGAGAGAGCTGAGCTGTAAAGCAAAGCTCTCTGTTTAGCGGTCGGTCTATGTTCCTCCCCTCACCTATTGTCACGAACTCTGGGTAGTGACTGAAAGAACGAGATCGTGGATACGAACGGTCTAAACGAGTATTCTCTGCAGGGTAGCTGGACACTCCCTTAGAGATACGGTGAGAAGTTCAGTTATCAGGAGAGACTCAGGGTAGATCTGCTGCTCCTCCACATCGAGAGGAGCCGGTTGAGGTGGTTTGAGCTTCACTAGGAAGGTGTTCCATCAATTCTATTGTCCAACTGGAGGGATACCCTGGGAAAGTTTTGGAGTCCTCCCAGAAGAACTGGAAGAGGTGGATGAGGAAAGAGATGTCTGGGCCTCCCTGCTCAAAATGCTGCCCCCGAGACCTGAGTCCAGAACAAGAGGAAGAAAAGGGATGAATGGATGGATGATTCCTGAGATATTTTGCTAACAAACCAACAAATTTGACATGAAGTTTCGGACAAGTACAGATCTTACACCAGGGATATCCAACTAAATTTCTCGGGGGGCTGCAGTTACTGAAGGTCATCAGGTCAGGGGCCGGACATCCTGTAATTATTGTATAACAAGCTCAGCTCTCCAAAGGAAATCATTTCCATTTCAAGGTTGTTTTTAACGTTTCTTTCACTAATTTTTCTTCTGATTTAAAATCTAGTTTTATTTTAAGTGAACTCATTAGTGAGCTCAACCGCAGGCCAGATGTGGCCCCTGGGCCGCCAGTTTAATAGCCCTGTCTTACACAATAAGCTAGTTCTTGAAGTATGCTAGGTATGACTCTCAGCTACTTCCACATAGAATGCTGCTCAATGGTTGTAAAAATAAATTTAAATAATGTTTTGGTGTGTGTTTGCTAAGGTCACTTAGCTGCGGTGGCCATCTTGAATTGTACTGCCTCCTGAAGTTAACTAATTGTAGATGTCCATCCAGTGATTTCATTCTAAGAGTTCCATTAAAATCCATCCAGCGGTTCATGAGGTATTTTTGCTAACAGACAAAGGACGACACACACAAAAACATTATCGCCCTTTTTCTGCCAGCAGCTGGAGATAATCACGCTCGGTTTGTGTTGGGACATCAGTAAGTGTCTGTGAAGCACGGTGGTGGCTCCGTCATGGTGTGGGCCTGTACTATAGACAGAAAATTAGCTGAAACTGATAAAATTAGAGAAATTGCATTTCCTGTGAAACGTGAGTCCAGTGTGAATATTTACTGCTGAAAGATTTTTAATGAAACCTGGCGGAAACGTTTCATGGCTAAAATGTTAACGAGAGTTGAATTTGAACGGTTGACGTTTGCAGAAAGCAGCAAAAAAACTGAATAAGCTGAAATAGGCAGAAAGAGGCTGAATACCAGTAATTTAAAAAAAAATGAAACTGGCAACAACAAAAAAAACCTCAAATGAGCCGAAAAAATGCTAAAATTAACAACAATAAAAAGAAGCTGAAATTAAAAAAAAAATTAAAAAAAGGTTGAAATTAGCGCTAAGAAGCTGAAAAGAACTGAAGGCAACTGTAATTAGCAGAAAGAGGCTGAAAAGGCTAAAGAAAGCTGTAATTAGATGAAAGAGGTTGGAAAGAGCTGAAAGAAGCTGAAATTTTAAGAAAGAAGCTGAAAAAAGATAAAGAAAGCTGTAATTAGCAGAAAGAGGCTGAAAAGTGCTGAAAGAAGCTGAAACTTGTAGCAGAAAGAAGCTGAAAAAAGCTGAAGGAAGCTGAAAGTAGCAGAAAGAAGCTGAAATGAGCTGAAGGAAACAGAAATTATTTGAAAAAGGTTGAAAACAGCTGAAAGAAGCTGAAAAGAGCTAAAGTAAGCTGAAATTAGCACTAAGAAGCTGGAAAGAGCTGAAGGAAGCTGAAGTTAAAAGAAACAAGCTGAAAAGGGCTGAAGGAAGCTGAAATTAGCACTAAGAAGCTGGAAAGAGCTGAAGGAAGCTGGTTAGCAGAAAGAAGATGAAAAGGGCTGAAGGAAGCTGAAATTAGCAGAAAAAAACTGAAAAACGCTAAAGAAAGCTGTAATGAGCAGAAAGAGGCTGAAGAGCTGAAGGAAGCTGAAGTTAACAGAAAGAAGCTGAAAAAGGCTGAAGGAAGCTGAAACTAGCACTAAGAAGATGGAAAGAGCTGAAGGAAGCTGAGGTTAGCAGAAAGAAGCTGAAAAGGGCTGAAGGAGCTGAAATTAGCAGAAAAAAACTGAAAAACGCTAAAGAACGCTGTAATCAGCAGAAAGAGGCTGAAAAGAGTTGAAGGAAGCTGAAATTAGCAGAAAGAAGTGGAGAAAAATCGAATCACAAGAAAAGCTGAAATTAGCAGTAAAAGGTTTAAAAGAAAGTAGAGCTCCATTCATTGAAAAAAACATGGCCGAAAGAGCTAAATATGTCGAAAAGTAGAAATATCACAAATACCAAAAGTCATAGCAGGAATGTCCCGAATGAGCCGAACGTTTTGATTTATGAAGGGTTGGAAAAGAACAAAAACAAAACGTACGGAAGTAAAATGGATCTCAATAATCACATTCACATGTTTACAACTCTTGAAGAGTAACATTAAATTATGATGGATATCGTCACGCAATAAAAACATTTTTATTGACAAAAACTTGAGTTTTAAGCGAGAAAACGATCCCAAACACATTTTAAGTGCAGCAAAGGTGACCTGAGAAAACCCCTCTACAGATCTGTGGTCATAAACTGAAGCATCGCCGCTTTATTCAACATCAAATGGCGAGAAAGACGCAGCCAACCGGACCGCAAAGGTTCTCCTAAAGGTAAGGCTCAGTCCGGCCCACACGGCAGGAAACTGAATCATCGAATCAGTGATGAAGGAACCATGAACTGATCCGGAGAACTTGTCTTTCTGCAGCCGCTACAGAACTTCAGTGATTCACCATCTTTTCCTTTGGGCTCTTGAAAGGAGCCGCGCTGACGACTGGTGGTCGTCTGGACTCCACGAGGAGCCTCAGGACTCCAGGGTGAACCAAAGGGCAGGAAGGATTAACGACGAGCCTGAAACCCGGGAAACCGCCCCAACAACTTGTTCCTGAGTCTGCCCCCGTCCGCCTGAGCAACAAGTTCGGAGGCGAACGCAGATTCATTCACAAACAACAACAGGAAGACGGCTAAACCAGGGCTGAACGTAAATAATCCTATAAGCTTTAATATTCAGTCACTGGACGATCTGAAGCTTGTGGTTGTAATCGAGTGAACGCTGACTCAGCATTAGTGTTTTTAATATACTGTACATCTGGTTTTTGCATTTCTGAACAGTTTGTGCCGTTTCAGCCATTCATCAAAACGTTCGGCTCATTCAGCAGACGATTGCTGTGACTTTTGTGTTTTGTAAATTTTATTATCATCCAAATATTTAACTTTTTGCAAATATTTTCTCCACAGAAACTTCAGATTTCTTCAACTCCTTCAAAAACGTTCTCTTTCAAGCTACAGTACACACTTCAGCTAGCATTTTGTTACCTTTAGATTTGATCTAGCTGCATGTTACATTTGACTTTCGCTAGTCTTTTGATACTTTTAGCTTTTAGACACATTTTTCCTATTTTTAGCTGACATTTTGCTACATTTTGCTATTTGGTAGTCATCAACTTCTTCTAACTTCCATTTTGCTACTTTAAGGTTGTAAACGTTTTGCTACATTTGGAGTGTTGCTAGTCTTTCAGCTTCTAGCTGTTGTTTTTCTGCCTTCATCTTTTAGCTAGCCTTTTGCTACTTTTCACAAAACTTTTGCATTAGGCTATTGCCAGTCATTTGCTCTTTTTAGCTTCTAACTACAGTTATGCTACGTTAGCTTCTAGTTAGCCTTTTGCTACTTTTAGCAAGTCCTTTGCAACTTAAATTTTTCTAGTCTTTTACAACTTTAGGCTTTTAGCTAACCTTCTACAACATTTGACTTTGGGTATTTTTTTTCCCATCTTTTTAACTTTAGCTGCTGTTTTGCTATTTTAAAGTTTATAGCTAACCTTTAGCAACTTTTAGCTCATCCTTTGAAAGACTGAATTTTTTTGGTACCATAGTCTTTTAATACTTTTGAGTTTTTAGTTAGTAATTAGCTCATTTTAGCTGTTTTCTGCTTGTTTTATCTTTAAGGTAACGGATTGCTACATTTAGTTTTTAGCTCGTGCTCTGCTTTTTGTTAGCTTCAACAGCTTAATGAAACTGAGCTTCAGTATGTTTCAAGAGATTCATTCAGCGTTTACACATTTTCACAGAAATTTTGATTTCTTTAGCTAATATATTGTTCAAATCCTGTTTGATAAACAGAAAACATCAGAATAATCTGTTTTGTTTGTGCTTAAATTACATTTTTTTATTTACTTATAGAACTTTAGTTGCAAAATCAATATCAAATTAAATGATAAAATCAGAGCTTGTGTTAATAAATTGATCACTTCTGTAAAATATGAAAGTTAAAAAACAATCAACAAGTTGTTTGTTGTTGACAAATGAACAGAGGCTTTACAGTAGGAATAAATAAACGTAAACAGAAAACAGTCTATTCAGGGAACAAGCTGTTTTTTTTTTATAGCAGCAGGTAAACAAGCGGGTCTCACCTGTCGGGTCGAAGTCGTGTTTGAGGGCGACGGAGGATTTCCCATTCTTTGGTTCTTTGTCTGCGAGCTCCTTGTTGAGAAAGTTCGGGGTCCTGCAGAAACAAATGACGACCATTTATGAGTTAAATTTAATATTTCAATGGATCAAATCTTTAATTCTTAACGGTTTAGAGATTATTTTATTCTAACTGTAAATCAAACTACTTTAACACTGAAAAACCATAAATTATAAACATCTGAACGCTATCGGTCTGTTTACGAAGAATGTCTTTGATCATGGGTAAGAATAAAATCTGCATCTTTAACAGAGTTTCATTTTAATAAATGTAAAATCTATATAAATTAATGAGGTGCTATTTAGACAAACAGGTGATCCTGGTTTTCTGCTGAAATATTTGTGATCTCTAGTGGAACCAGTTTCTGTCCATAAGGTTGACACCTTGTCTACTTTTAATATTCGGCTCAAGTCTTTCCTTTTTGATAAATCCTATAGTTGGGGTTGGTTCAGGTTTCCTGAGCTGTCCCTTAGTTCTGCTGCTACAGTATGGGGTTAGGGCAAACTGACCACGTTTCCTCACTCTGCTGCTGTCTTTACTCGCTCTAACCCGTTTGTATTTATAATTATTTCTTTCACTAACGCGTTTTTTTTTTGTCCACATAGAAACTAAAATCTGAACCATAGAAATTATACCTAGATCATAGAAACTGCACTTGGACCATAGAACACAACCTGTTGGCTTCTTTTTGCAGATTTCTTTTGTTTGTTTGTGGATGTTCTTGTGCCTGAGATGAGTTTTGTTGTGAATTAGCACTTTCTAAACAAACTGCAGTGAATTGAATTAATGCCTTTTCCTGGGTCTGTAGTCTCATTTGTCTGTCTGTTAGCAAAAGATCTCATAAACCGATGGACAGATTTAACGAAACGCTCAGAAAACGAATTAGGTCGGAGTCAATCTAATTTAAGATGGCCACCATGGCTATTCAACTTCAGCCAATACAAAAAAGACTGATTACCATTCATTCTTTCATTCAACCTTTATTTATGCAGGTTAATCCCATTGAGCCTCGGGGACTCATTTACAAGAGAGACTTGATTTTAACAAAGAGTGATGACAACAGTGGATAACAACAACAACAACAATAGACAATCATAAAAGATGCGTACAATTTTAATTTTTTTAACAAGTTAAAATAAAATGGCAACCAAAAGGACAATCAAAAGGAAATGTAACAACAACAAAAAAACAGCAAGATTATAAGGCGGTGTAGAAAACTAAAAACAGGAACATGTCTGCGTTGGTCTTTGCCAGGAACTTAGCCGATGTTTGAAGCCACTTAGAGAGGTCAAGGTCAAGAGCTTTAGATCTTTTTGCAAGATATTCCAGGAAACAGGAGCGGAGAAGGAGAAGGCCCTTTTGTCTATTTCAGTCCTCACTGAGGGAACACTGCAGGTAATAATGTCCTGAGAGCGCACGCTGTAGCTGCACTCACACAGACACATGCAGGAGGAGATGTATGAAGGCAGCAGACCAAGAAGTGATTTAAAGATGAAAATGTACCAGTGGGAGAGTCTGCGTGACCAACACATATCATGAGCACTAACGCATCACACAAGATCTTTGATTAAAACAATCATAATGACTGTTGGAGTTAGCGCTGTTTGTCTGTTAGCAAAATACCCCAAGGACAAGTAAATGGATCATTAACTTTTTGGAGCCAACTTGATTCAAGATGGCCACCAGCGCTATTTGACTTTAACAAAAGCAAAAATGGCTACAACTCAGTCAATTTTAAAGTTCTTACTTTTTCTTTCAGCTGCTCCCTTCGTCAGGGGTCACCACAGTGAACTAACTTGCCCGAGGACTTGACGCCCGTCCTGACACAACCACAGACCACCGAGCTACCACAGCCCTCTGTGTGGAGCAGACAGCTGCCTTGTGGGGCGCCCGGGGGAGCAGATGGTGGGGGTTAGCTGAACTCATTACTGTCTTGTAAACTTTGCCTTTGACCTTTGCTGCCACTCTTTTGTCACAAGTCACTCCAGAAACATTTCTCCATCCACTCCATCCTGCCTGGACTCTCTTCTTCACCTCTTTACCACATTCCCCATTTCCCTGGACAGTGGACCCCAAGTCCTTGAAGTCCTGCACCTTTGTGACCTCTGCTCCTTGTAGCCTCACTGTTCCACCTCCTCCCTCTCATTCACACATGTACTCCGTTTCCTCGTTGTTCCAAGTGCATACCTCCACCTCTCCAAGTTCTCTTCCACCTGTTCCCTGTTCTCACCACAGATCACAATGTCATCTGCGATAAGAGAAACTATCTGTGTATATTATTATAATTTGTCAGTCTCTCTCCATCAGTCCACACTACTCTGGGTACTAAAATATGACAATAATGGTAGATGTTCCTGCCAGACGGCTCCTGGAGTAAGACTGACACTAAGCAGATTCACCATTCAATTATAAGGGCCCAGAGTGAGGCAAATGAGGGTGGAGGCAGGTGAGGGTGCTTCACCTTTTCCACCCACGTTTTTGATGTTGTCGTCCAGGGTAGCGGTCATAGGCTCGCCTTCTCCAACCTCTGCACAAGTAACTAAGCCAAATTTTGGTGTGGTAGTAGCTGAGACTGATTTTCAGCAAATAATATTGAGCACTAATAGACAGCACAAGATCTTTGTTTCAAACTTTGGGATGCCAGGTGCTGAGCGGCATGTTTTTCAATAAATTATACTTTTATTTTATTTAATCGGTGGACTGTGGCCTCGTCCTCATTAATGAGGGCGTGGCTCCAATCTGATGGACCCGACCCAATAAGTTTGATAAAGATAGGCACCAATGAAAACAGGTCTAAACAACAGATTATCTGTTAATCCATGTCTGCAATGGCATCAATCTTTATGTGTAACCTGCCATAAAAACACCCCAGCATGCTTTGCGTGCTCCTACACAGTTGTGGTGATTTAACCCGTGGAAAAGTCTCTTTAAGGCGGTTTAGCTCATATATTAACAGCAGCAGAGGTTCTCTCTCTCCTCGTTGCCCTTCACAGCTCCTCTTCTTCACTCCAAAAGAGGGGATTTTGTTTGTCTTACTGCTCCTCCCTGAACAATGGGGGCCCCGGACATTAAACAATGGCCCCCCAACGTCAGAGCCCTCTCTCTTACTACAGTGGCTTTGTGGGACAGATTCCCGGAAACGGTGACTGGAGCTTTCTTGGCTCGGCTTCAGCTTCCTGAAAGCCTGCAAACTAAAAAAAAAAAAAAAAAAGCAGGAGGAAGACGAGAAGGACGTTCCAACGGATCCAGTAGACGAAGAATCCTGCCTGAACGAAGGAATAAATTAAAATCTGAAGATTCAGGGAGATCGAGTGAAGACTAAACATTCGGCTCGTGTTTAGTCTGGATCTGTGGCTCACAGCTGCAGACAAAAAGACAAAAGTGGCGCTCGTGAGGAAGAGGAGAACCTTGAAACGCAAAGGCACGTTTTGTGGAAGCTCTTTTGCTCCGACGGGAGCAGATTAGCAGCTCGATGAGACGAGGAGATACAAGAACAGACGACGTCCTGCTGAGTGGGTGGCAGCTGAAGATTTACAGCCTCCAGCTTTTTTAGCTTTAGGACACTTTGTTTTATAATCCTTACATTTAATCAGCTTTAAAACCCAGACGACAAAAATTGTTCCATATCCAGAAGTCTTTTTGTGTCAAACTAATAGATAAATTTACTTTATTACCCCAGAATGTGCCAAAATGTTTTATGTCATGATTTATGAACAATTGATATAATAAATGTGTCTATTTAGCATGGAAAAATAAAAATAATATAAAATAAATTAAAAACTTGTCTACTGCAAGTGCAGGTAAGGTAGTTACATAAAGGTTGAATGAATGAATGAATATTTACCCCAAGAAAAAATCTAATAAAAAAAAAAATCAGCATTAAAGGTGTGTTTCAAACATTTTGAAGAGGGGTTTCATGAGGAGGTGATGAACAAAGTCTGGCGTTCGTTAAGGGAATGCTTTTTTTTTTAATTTACCTTTTATTTATCCAGGTAGTCTCATTGAGTCACGAGGAGTCATTATCAAGAGAGACCTGTTTAGGGAGCAGATGATGGGGGGTTAAGGGTCTTGCTCAGGGGCCCAGTGTGGGCAAATGAGGGTGGAGGCAGGTGTGGGTGTTTCACCTTTTCCACCTACATTTTGATGTTGACGGTACCGGGAGTTGAACCTGCGACTTTCCAATCACAGGCCCATCTTCTCTAACCTCTGCACCACCACTCCCCCACTATCACCCACCGCGTTTACCCTCAAACTGTTCTTAAACTTCATGACAAGTGTTCCTGAGGACCAACCAACCATCTCACATATCTGCTGAAAAATACTATTACCGTAGTTTTCGCCGTATAAGTCACAGGCTTTTTTGCATAAATTTGCATCTGTGACTTATACAGTGACGCAACATCTTTATGTCCCCCCCCCCCCATATTTATTAACAAATTTTTGACTGACATCTGACCATTTTCATTCATTCTGACATGGAAAATATTGAACATCGCCATTTTCAGCTGCTAGAGGGAACTCGAGTAATATGGCAAGCCAAGTGTCTCATTAATAGGTGAAAGTGGCTATTAATGAGACACTTTGCTTGCCATACAGCCACCATCGTCTCGCTCCAGAACTCCTGGAGCAAACATCAAATCAGCTGCATTTCGCCGCACCACCCAGGCGAAATGCAGCTGATTTGACCGTCAGTGCATTTATTAAGGAAAAATTCAACTGAGACACAACTCTGCTATGATTTCAAGCAAACAAATGATTGTTTTTAAGTGTTACATCTTGTTAAATTCTTGTTAAAGTCCTCCCGCGCACGCTCCCGCGGCCACCATTTGGCAGCCAATCATTTTTTGGCACAACACCGGTCCACGTTTCCAGGTGGTCAGCAATGACGCGTAACAAACGTGACGCGCCAGCGGTGACGCATAATAGATGCGATTTATAAGGCGTGGCGACGTATTTATTTATTTTTATTCACTTTATTAGACATATTTGGACTGATGCAACTTATCCGGAGGTGCAACGTTATCGG